ATAATATAGCTTACCATTGGTTAAAGAATTTTTTAAATCGATTTAGTTTAACAAACAAATATTTACATTTATACTATAAGTATGGAATATATGGATTATAAAAACGTACCATACCTGATATCCCAAGTAATACTATCATCATCAGCTCAGCCCAAAGACGTTCACTGCTTTACATAGGTCTCAATCAAGATTCGCCACAACAACCTATAATACCTATGATCACGAAAAGTAGTACGTTTTATTTGTTGAATCACGTTAAATACGAGTAACTATGGCTTTTTATCGTGGGAGAGCCAAGCTTTGGGCCATATAGGGTGGCTCCACCGGAGTGATACCAAGGACTGGCCGGAAACCGCTGTTAAGCAAGTGTTTCGTTACTTTTCACCGACTGATTGAAGTTACCGGAGTGGGCACCACAGACACTTACCATATATGTACGTTTCATATAAGAAAAACGATCGTCATTAAATTCTGCATACAAGTTACTAGGAAAACATAAAATGAGGATATATGAACCTTTTATTCTTATATGTATATACTCGTATTTTCAAAAAAAAAAATTAAGTATTCTATCAGTCAATCTAGCGTTCATAGTACAAGCTCTGATTAGTTTGAAACTAGATGGCGTTGTGTTTCAGATATCCTAAATATTAATATTATTTTATCCAGAAAAAATACAGTACCCGTTTTATAATACAGACAGAGCGGTATCGCAGGCAAACGTGGTTAGTAGGAAATAGGCAATTTTCTCAAACCTACGGAAGACGTTTGGAAGCATCCTGTATATGTAAAGAGTGCAATACGTCAGTATTGGATATCGAACGACGCAATCTACAGATGACGACGTTGCATACCGATTGAGTTTGATGCGTCGACGTCAGCCCCTTGTCTGATGTAATTAGGTGAACGGGGAATATTCTACTACAGAAATAATATTGGGAAGAAATTCAGTTAAACCTCAAATCCATACACGTGTAGGATAAAGAAATGTGATAGATATTTAATGATTTAAGGACATAAGAAAACAAATCAGAGTACTAAATACTAAACAAACAGATTTGTTTAGTATTTAGTACTCTGGTTTAGTACTCTCTGATTCAAATAGGAGTTAAACAGCAATAGCATATACTCGTATTAAAGTGAAGTGTTATAGACTATTCTACTTAGCTATCCCTAGGAGAATACACTCAGCGATTGCAGACAGATGGTTAGCAGACTTAAGCAACATTGGTGGTTTCCCCAATCCATCCGTAAATCATTATCCGTTTCCTACCATAGATTTCCTATATATACTCTTATTTCCAATCTCTTTTCTATCAAATCACACCTGTTATGTTTTTTTTAATGTAGTAGGCGGCAAACGAGCAGGGCCTCAATTCTGCTATTTTAATATTGTGTGAATAGACTGTCGATGGAATGTCGTCGGAATAGTTTTGCACTTTTCCATTTCTACTGACTATGTAAGTCCAATGGCCATCGGGAGATGACTTGTCACTGATACAAATGTCGTCGATGTCTTTGTAACAGTTTGGTAAACGGTATATTTTAAATTTGTAAGAAAACGATTTTTTTAATTTTTTAGGTATGGCAATGTTGTTGATGGTATGGCAGGTATGGCATTGATAACCCATATTACTATATCAACAGTCTGTTGACACTGTGAATTTATGTTAGTAGAATACTGATATTTTGATCGAAATCAATGGCATCTCAATATCGTGTCAATGGAATGACAGTGGCTTGGCGTCAACATAAAATAGCAGATTTGAGGCCCTGGTGGCTCACCCGATGCCAAGTAACTACCATTATAAAAGTAAGTGCGTTGTCAACAGCACTGCAAATAGAATGAAAACTTAAACCTTACACAAACAAGTCTGACCAGCGTGGTATAGCAGGCCAAAACCTCCTTGCTAAGAAGAGGCCTATATCCAGCACTGGACTGTTAGAGGCTGTTGACGATGATGAATAGATGTATGTACCAATCGATATTGATCTTTAAATTGCATTTAGATTGTAAACTAAATACTTACTCTCACTACACTTGCTCACATGAACTTTAACGTATGTCTAAACTTACCCAGAAATTGCAACAACTGATATTTGGCCAATTCAATACAGGGAAGAAATACAAAGGAAAATTTATCATTAACTTACAATAACTTTGACAGGACGATACTGAGTATCAAAACACGATGCTCTTGGGACTCTGTAACTTTGACATTTATAAATTGACACGACTTCTCTGCGTCACCTATGTCACAAACTTGAAGAACACGCTTTTATTTTATCTAGTAACATTTTAAGCTCTATTCAAAAGGATTTGAGTCGAATTTTCAGTGTAGAGGTCCTTTTCGTGTGCGAAAGTCGTTTGTCAAATAAAGTGTGTTTAATTTTTACACAGTTGAATAAGAGGGAATTTAAGTTGTAGAAATATACAGATACAAAGAAGACTGATGTGTAAATAAATTCAGTTAATTTATGTAATTTTGTAAAATTAAGCTTTAGTTATTAGCGTAAGCGCCTCAGATAGCGATTACATCTAGTGTGAGTTTATTTCACATGAACTCGATGGCCACTGTGACCGCGTTTGACGGTGCGATTGGTTGACAGTTCAAGTACGGACAGTACAGTGAACTAAGCATAATTAAGCATTTAAGTAAGCTATTTTAATATAACTTTTTTAGTAAAATCGTTGAGTATATTCTTCTCACCTCCTATTTTAAAGTTATTGTGAAATGGATGTATAAAATGAACTGAAGGGTAAAATATTTTACGGCGGCGCCCCGTTGGGAATTTGGGAAAAAATTTCAGTACCACGTGCATCATTTGGAATCGTTCAAATATTTGTGAAAGGCAAGGGGAGGCTCTTGTACAAAGGTGTCAGTCACACCGTACAGCAGTTTTAGGTTATAAGCGACAGCGAGTTTGTAAAACTTAATTGCCAAAATTTAATCTAAGTTTCAAGTCGACAAAATGCTGTTGTTCATTACGCTTTTGCCTATATCTTCGGGGATATAGGCGTAAATATACATGTGTTTACATATATTTAAAATGCTAGTCAGAGCTTTTTTTTTTCTTCTTTTAAAACTAATTATTTGAGAGTACTTTTTTTAAAGCAAGTGTTTATTCACAAAATTTTCATAATGACCACTTTAGTAATAGGCCTGAACAGGTAAACAAATAAAAGAGCTAACTCGTTAATAAAAATAACGTACATACCACATATTTATAGCCTAGGAAGTCATCTAAAAAAATGTGGAACATTATGGAATGATAGTGCTGAAGGAATTCATTGAAGGTTTTGATAATATTGAAAAATTTAATAATAATATTGTATTTAAGGATAACCCGCAAATGTTTTGTACATAAGCTTTTAATTTTTTGCAAATGATTTTCCAAATATGTGGCATTCGAGAATTAACCAACCTTCAAGAAAAGAGCGTACTCCTTCCTAAAAGGCAGGCAACGCGTTTGTGACTCCTGAGTTGCAGACGTTCATGGGCGGCGATAGTCACTTTCCATCAGGTGACCTGTCTGAATCTGCTCGTCTGCTCCCTCTAACATAAAAAAAAACAGTCAGCACCTTTTAAATTGAACCAACCTAAGAACGAAACTTGCACAGGGGTTAATATTGATAGAAAAATGTAGGGATTAGATTTTTTTTATATTCAGAGCCAGGTTCGGAGGGGAAAGTTCTCAAACAGTTTGGCATTGAAAAATGGTGGTGCCTGCCCTTTGATATTGGAATTTAACAAATATTTTTTGGTTGATTTTTTTTAGAAACGGGGAAAACTGATACAAAGGTAAGTCTTCTGTATATAAGGGCAATTTGTTATCAAGATGCTTGTCATGTGGTTTTGTACAAAAAATGTTGAGTTTTGTACTCATGGTTCTGCTTAGTTTTATATTAAAGGGTGAAGGAGAACAACTATTAATAAACCTTAATTATTTATGCGTACGTTACTTTTTCTTAATCGGAGTTCCAGTAATCCACACTTATAATGTAAATGTGAAAGTGAGTATGTTTGCTTTTCACGCTTTCACGCCTAAACCACTAAACCGATTTCAAAAATTCTTTCACCAATGGAAAGCTACGTTATCAGCGAGTATCACAACAGGCTACTTTTTACCTCGATAACCAACATACACGCAGGCGGAGTCGTGCGCAAAAGCTAGTCCTAAATAATTTTGTTAGCGTTTGGTCTGCACTGGCATCGACATTTTAAACAGAAATGCTTGGCATTTTTTTTTGTCAATTATTTTAACTAATATTAAATTTCACTGAATATGTTGTATTTATTGTACTTGTACATCAATTTAATTTAATTACTTTTTCCCAATAAGTTTGAAATCAAAGAATTAACCGTTCTGAGGAACATTAAGACGACTGGCTTAGTGGTCTGTGTAATGAACTGTTATTCCAAAGGTCGCGGGTTCAATTCCTGCTCAAGTCAAACATTTGTGTGTATGAACATTTAATGTTCGATTTGGTCTGGGTGTTTCTATGTATAATATGTATGGATTTACAAAAAAACAGTATGTATGTATTTATCAGTTGTTTAGTACCCATAGTACAAGCTCTGCTTAGTTTGAGACCAGATGGCATTGTGTGAATCTGGTAGAATATTATAAAAGAACTGTATTCATTACAAGGCAGTTAAAAAACCTTGTCCCTTTTAAGGTTAAAAATCAAAACAAGCCTACTATCTCAAAGCTACCACTATTAATATACAATACGAGTATCTTTGTTTTAGTGTCTTTTCCTGTATTAAGAAATGAAAAAAGGAGGAAATACTCAATTTAAATAAAAAAATTGCTTTGAATTAAAACCTACACGTTACTATAAATTTAATATATAAAGACTATTAATGGTTGGACTGATAGGTTTGGTTTGGCTGTGAATCCAGTGAAGTGCCAAGCCATCATCACAAGCAGTCAACGTATGACTAAATTTTAATAACGTAACAAAAGATTTTTCAAATTTCTATTTTTATTAATTTTCACTTCGCTTCAGAAACTGGTGTAGGGCTCCAGTAATATTTATCATAAATATTATCCCAAAATGCATAGGTTTTCGAAAACAAATTCTTCTTTAACTGCAAATTCTTGCCTATTTTCATGTAATTCGGTGTCTCTTTTGTGTATCTGCGCCATTTTACGTCGATTAATAGACTTTCATAAGCCGTAGGGTTTCTAGAATAAAAAAAGGGGATAATGAGCATTACTTTGCCTAGAACATTAGAAATACGGGCAATATTAATCAAATAATTAAATAACCATTATTTTAGGCAATGAATAGGTACCAACCTATTTCGAGTTTCACTACCCCGTAAATAAATAAATATGAATGAATTGCAATCACGTAATATAAAAGAAAATTAATGTAGGCTAAGTTTATTAATTTAGTCTAGCAACACCAAGTTCACTTCTAGATTAAATATTTTTAGAAATACGGTGTATATAAAATTGAAATAACTAACTATACATTTTATTTCAGAATATAAGTGCGCTTTTCGATATCTACACTTTTTGCCCCGCACAACCAATCTGTGGGTTATCGTCTGCGGTATTTCCGGACCGATACGACCTTTAAACCTTCAAGAAAAGGGCGTTTTTCTTCCTAAAAGGCCGGCAACGCGTTTGTGATTCCTGAGTTGCAGACCTTCATGGGCGGCGATGGTCACTTTCCATCAGGTGACCCGTCAACTCGCCTGCCCCCTCTAACATAAAAAAAAAGAAATATAAAAAAATAGTTGTTTGAAAATACTCGATTGCTCATCGACTCAACCCTAGATTGGCGTGCTCAACTTACTCATGTGAGCCAGAAAGTAACGGTCTTAAGAATTTCCTGCCTACTAAAACGAAAACCTCTCTCATGCAGCTCTAATTATTCCTATAATTGACTATGGTGATGTGTGTTACTCGAAATCAGAATGTCCATAAACCGTTTCGCATGTAAAAATAAGGTTCAAAATTACCTTTTCGACGAGATGGCGGAACTATCGTAACCAAACACCTCCTTAAATTCAAGTATTTACAGTGCACGAAACTAAAGAATATGTATTTATATGTATATTAATTTAGATAGAGATATATATATATATATATATATATATATATATATATATATATATATATATATATATATATATATATGTATATATGTATGTGTAATTTATATGCTTATATGCTTACTGATAAAGAGAATAATTACAATCAGTGATTACAATTATAATCGCTCGCCGCCACCCCGGCCTGCTTCTGCTAGGGTGACAGATGGCCTCACCTGTCACCCCCAGGCCTGCGCTTTTGAAGGACGGAGGTCGTTCTGCGACCTCCGGCGCCTGAGTCGCCTGCGGTACCTGGCCCGTTCCCGGGCCTGGCGGGCCGGGAGAGTCCTAAACCTCTCCCGGTCCCGCTCCGCCGTCTTCTTCGCAAGCATAACTTGCTCGCAGAAGGAGACGGCAGAGTTCCACGCACTCTCGCTCCGCACGATAGCCGCAATCAGGCTATCGAGCGAGAGAACTCCCACTCCGATGGCCGCCACGAGGTCTCGCCTCTGCTCAACCCACGCCGGGCACTCTGCCAGCGTGTGGAGAGCCGTGTCCGCGGTCTGGCCATCGCAGTGGTGGCACTCAGGCGTTGGCTCCTTGCGGATCAGACACAGGTGATCCACGAAACATCCTTTCCCAGTGATCACCAGCGTCAGTCGGTAGAATGACCAGGGCATTAAGTCCGCCGATGCACATAAGTGCTTGAAGATATAAATAAATAAACAAAAAATACTTTTGTCAGTCAATAGTGAAACTGTTTGATGCCCAATATTATAAAAATTTACAAATCAACAATTTACAATGAAAACATGACTTCAGAATATTTTACATATTCTGAAGTCATGTTTTCATGACCACTCTATAGACCACTATATATCTATATTTATTAATTTAACAAACGTTACTTACTCGAACTTAACAAAATCAGTCCACATTGCTGTCATTCTGTCTCTTGTCTCCAAATCATTTAAATCATCAGTGAAACCAAAGAAGTCCAATAAATAAGATGTCTGATCTCTATGACTCGCTCCGTCCAATTTGTCCATATAATAATGCTTTAAGCTCAATTTGCCCACGTATGTGAATTCATACAAGAACACTGGTCTATTAGATTTACTGGCATGCAGTTTTGCTGATTTCATTATTGAATATTTGAACATAGCATCTGAAAAGTAATCTACATATCCTTTTAAAGTATCATGTGAAACCTCTTCTCCTTTGAAATAATATTGTTTTATATCTTCAATCAAAGCGTCTCTTGATTTTACAGTATCGAAGGTTAAGTCGGCTGGGAGGAAATCGGCAAAATTCTCATTCATCGCTTCACTCCATTCATCAAACTTAAAAGTCCTACTTATGCCCTCCATATTTGCGAAACCTGTCAATACAGGCATTTGCTTATAATCCCCTTTTTGAAGAACCATTAAAGGCGACTCCGTAATAATTGGTTCTGTATTCTTAATAACATTTTCTAAACACGGCGCAAAACCAAAAGTTGAATTCTCCAGAAAGAAGTTATGGGTTTTCAAAGTCATGTCAACGATATCTGCATTCAGTAGAAACTCATTCAAATCTTTAATGTTTCCTGTATCATTATAACCTATAGATATTGCTAAGTTCTTAGCTGTATCAATTGGATGACGATTTATTGCGAAAGGTGATAAAGCTGATCCACTCTCTAGTATAAGTTTGTCAAATAAACCACTTGCTGCTTTGGATAAAGCCAGTAACTCAGCCATAGTGGCCCCAACGCTAAACCCTGCGAGAGTTACTTTAGTAGGATCTCCACCAAACTTTTTTATATATTTATTGATAAATTTCAAAGCTGCTAGTTGATCTTTTAGACCAGCGTTACCCGGAATTTCTTCAGTACCAAGACAGGCAAAACCAATCACTCCTAGCCTGTAGTTAAAACTCACAACAAGAACATCTTCTCTAGCCAGATAATGCAACTTTGCCATGTTACCATTTCCACCGGAATAACCACCACTATGAATGTATACCAGAACTGGTACAAGATTTTTTTCACTGGCAATACTGGGCACTAAAAGATTCATATTTAAGCAATCTTCTTGTCCAAAAACTTCATCTTCATCATCATCTGATTCTTTAAGGAAAATTTGAGGGCAGTGAATATTTCTGATATCAGCGACTAGAGAACCAAAATCTTCTAACGGTAGCGGTGCCTGTGAATATATGATACTGTAAATATAGGAAAATAAAAATCTATTTAAAGCCATTGGAAATGACTCTTATGCATTATCTAATTCTGATTTGTATTTGGGAAGAGTAATTACTAAACGTCGGAGTATCAATGGCGCGATGTAACGGAAGTAATAATATTAAGTTTGCAACTGGTAATAATTGCCAGTGATCTCATGCGAATAACAAATAATCTGCTAAAAAAAATTAGTATCAGAATACTAGCCATAGGGTTATGTAAACTGCTAATTCCAATATGTGGTATAAACTATATTTGTCAAGTTACATAATTACATAAAATATATTATGAATTAACATTGCTTGTTGTAACTGTAGCAGGAGTACACAATCAGCATGATTATGGACTAAGCTTACGGAAGCCTGATTTTCGGGGTGAAACCGGAAAAGCCGGAAACACAAAACAAATAAATAACAAAAAATACAATAGCTCATGAATTGAATGAATACAATAGTGCCTTAATAATTTTATTTGTTAAATTACAAGCTATCACACTTGCAAGTTCGCCTGTAGGAGCTCGTCAGCATCCTAATTCATAATAATATAAATGCAAAAGTACCTTTATTTTTAAGTACATTATTGCGGTCTCAGGGATCCACGTGGTATAATACGTGAATTATTATTTTTAAATACACATGAACTACAATAAAGCAGAACCTAATAGTTTCAATTAAAAATAAGTTCACTTATAAAACTGAAACTTATTCATGTGCAATTTACAGCATCGTTGATGATCACTGACTGACCTGTATATTATAAATATTTTTTACACATCGCAACCGAGATCGAGTCCCTTTGAAACCAACATTCTCAAGGAGAATTAGCATCAGCCATAAAAATACCAGCCAAAACCATTCGCAATGTTACACATTACGCCGACTTCAAACTAATTTGGAAAATAATTAAGAAAGTGGTGATGATGACACAGAAACAAAGTGTTTCAATTTTCGATCATATTAAACTTAAGTGACACAATTAACTAACCTTAAACCTGTCCCTTCCTTTAGGCACTTTGGCGTACGGTACACCATAAAACTCAAAGAAATCCCCATTCCAGTACTTTTCTCCTATCACTTCTCCTACATCCAAAGTCACTACTCTCTTTTCAGTCTGTTCCTCAGCGAAAACATTAACAATAAATATAAAAAACGATAAAAATCTAAATAATAAACACATGTTGACTTATGGTCATAAAAATCGCACTGATTATTTATCAATTCTGAAGTTGTGATATAAAACGATATGAAGTTACTGAATAATAATTATCATTGTTTTGATAAATGCCACATGGATAAGGATTAATGAATTAATATTTTAATCTTCGTGTCGTGGAAATACTTTATTGGACTAGGATGGTTAGTACATGTCAAAATACTTAAGAATTTTAATTGATCTAAAAAGTCGAGTCTTAAGATTAAACTGATTTTGATAATTGTGGTACCTGTAGTGGTCTGTCCTACGATACTTAAATTCGTATTTACATTTAATATGTTAAGAGTCATCCAGTGTAGTTTTTTTTTTGTTTACGAATTAATAGTGTTGGATGGAGAAGTTCGTAAAACCCCTACAGATGACTGCCTGGGCTCCCCTAACTATAGTACTACAATTTTCTCATCCCTAATACCTAGTAACTGGGACGAAATTGTAGTTTGCAAAACACAGGTGTTTAATATACGTCTGGGTTTAATACACGAATAGGTAGGCACCTATTTCTATCCTTATAAATATTAGATAATATTCCAGTTTGCAAGAATACACTTTTCTTTACCAAATGTTACTAAAAAGAAAATCCTTATATCGGTTTCATATATAACACGGCATAACTCCCACTAAATACATAAATAGAAATATATTAAGTAAGGAAATCGCGAAGCCATGCTGCAGAATATATTATCATAAGATATCCTATACGGGCACATTTCTTGCGTCCGCCGGCCAAGAGTGTTGGAGGACTGTTTATATGACACGATGGCAAATAAAACTTTTAGAACTATTTTTCTAACTCTGATCATTTTCTTGATAAGGGTTTAAATGCTTTATATTTATAAAAGGAATAAAACTCATTAAGTGATTAAAGAAGAGTAATTTTAACATAAATCAGCGATTTAAAATTATTTTCTATCTGATCATGTGTGTTGTTTTATTAGCTCCAAAACCAATGAACGGATTTCCATAGTTTCCATAGGTGGATAGTATAGGTCGGGCACGCCATTATTGCGGCGGTAAGACCCATTATAGAGGATTGGCTCGAGAGGCGTAACGGAACCCTCTCATACCGGCTGACGCAGGTGATCACCGGAAAAAGTTGTTTCGGAGATCACCTGTGTCTGATCCGCAAGGAGCCAACGCCTGAGTTCCACCACTGCTATGGCCGGACCGAGGACACGGCCCTCCACACGTTGGCAGAATGCTAGGCATGGGCAGAGCAGAGGCGTGACCTCGTGGTGGCCATCGGAGTGGGAGTCCTCTCGCTCGGTAGTATGATTGCCGCCATGGTACGGAGCGAGAGTGCGTGGAACTCCTCTGTCTCCTTCTGCGAGCAAGTTATGCTTGCGAAGGAGATGGCGAAGCGGGATCGGGAGAGGTTTAGAACTCTCCCGGCTCGCCAGGCCCAGGAACGGGCCAGGTACCGCAGACGACTCGGGCGCCAGAGGTCGCAGAACGACCTCCGTCCTCCATAGGCGCAGGAGTGGGGGTGACAGGTAAGGCGAGACGCGTTGCGGAGCGCGCGTGCCATTTTGGGAGCACCAAGGGAACATGGGGATTCCCACACAGAAGGGAGTCATTTACCCGCCGTAGATGCCCGGGGTACGTCGGGGTACCAGGGATTTCCTTTCTAGGGTATACGTGGTTCCCCGGGTGCTGGTACCCGAGACGGCGTGCGGTTTTTAGTCGGTTCGTGTCCGATATAGCCACCCACCGGTTGTCCGGTAGCTAAGTGTTTATAACCAATGGAAACCAGTAGATTGATGAGTGTTATCCGACTTGGTCCGAGCGGTATCCGACGGGATTTCCGCACAGAAGCACGCAATCTTTTTATTAGTTCCTAATCTTTTACAAATATATAAATATTTTTAGTTGGTTTGTAAACGCTTAAAAAACTCAAAAAGTTCTGCACTGATTGAACTCAAATTTTGACACGATACGCAAGCACAGTGAAGCATGGCAGGGTACAGCTACTTTAATATGAAAATACATTAAAGAAAAAACTATCGAGTTGTATCCGTGTCGTTCCCGTGCCGTATCGCTTAAAGTAACATATACTACCCCTTTATGCTGAATATATTCGGTTTAGTAGGTTTCCTTGTAGACCCGTGCATAAAATATGTTAGCTTCCCTCGCACCTCGCAGTCTGCAATATTATTTGTGTTTTGCGGACGTTTAGAGATGTCTGCTCTCACGCTCTCAGTTACCAGCAACTATTTTAGTTCGCAGTGCTGTTTTATTTTTAGGTTGCTAGACTATTCAAGTACTGGAGATACCAATGTATGTATTTGAAGAAGAAGACGACAATGTACTTACTGTGTGAATGGAATAATCATATCACTAGCCTCGTTACAACTCGGCTAATTTGTTTTAGTTATTACAAATGTATTGTCCGTGTGGTGACGGATTAAGAATACAGAATGTCACCACCCCTATTTATCCCGTGGGTGTCGTAAGAGCTGACTAAGGGAGCAAACTACGCAGGACAACAGCACTGCAAAGAGAAGGAAAACTTGAAACAAACCCTATACCAACCCGTCTGGCCAGCGTGGTATAGTTGGCCAAAACCTCCTTTCTAAAGAGAGGCCTATGTCCAGCAGTGGACTATTCTAGGCTGTTGATGATGATTACAAATGTATTTAATTTCTACAAAAGTATTTATTTTCGGTCGATCAATCCCTTGGCGTTACGTAGAGATGCGGCTTCACTCTGCATTCTCTATCGCATCGCATATATCATGGAGAGTGCTCCGAGGAATTATTATTTTTCAGACGTTCATGGGCGGTGAAGGTCACTTTCCGTCAGGTGACCCGTCTGCTAGTCTGCCCCCTCTGACATAAAAAAAAACTCTTTTACCAATACAAGAGTAAATCACGTATAAGTTGTTCGTTTTTTCTATTACTATTAGTACGCCATCGCGCCACCAGATAGTTGAAGCTTTGAGCTACTAGGATTATGACCGCAATCTGCAGGAAAAGACAAATAGCCGTGTTCTGATTTCTTCCGTAATCAATACGTATTTGAATATCAATGTTTTTAAATCAGTCATCTATGTGGTGATAGATTAAAGGTACAGAGTGTCACCACCCTGATTCATCCCGTGGGTGTCGTAAGAGCCGACTAAGGGAGCAAAGCACGCAGGACAACAGCACTACGTCTTTGTATCATCTCTTCTCTTGAACTAAAACTTGAAACAAACCCTATAGTAGGTCAAAACCTTCTTTCTAAGAAGAGGCTTATGTCCTGCAGTGGACAACTAGATGGTTGTTGATGATTGATGTATGTTGACTAGTGGATTTTGATTATTGATGTTGTGTAAACATTTTTACAATACTTATTACAACCGTTGAACGGATGTTTCACTGGACGCTTGGTAAGATAACGTGTTTAGTCCTATTTCATATTTAAAAAGACTTGTGTTCGAATCTAGACTCATTATTAGTATTTCAAAAAAAAAAATGGCAGAACAGTACTCCACCACCAACCACTAAACAAAAAAACACTTGTAACCAAAAACAACTCCCTTCAACAAGTCTTCTTCTTCTTCTCAGCCAAAAGACGTCCACTGCTAGAAATAGTCCCACCCCCAAGTTTTGCCACAACAACCGCTACTCGCATCTAACGGTTTCGCGCGACCTTCACCAGGTCTTCGGATCGTCTTTATTAGAACACTTTAAGCAACTCCTCAGATTTTCTGAAATTATACCTAAAACACTCTTGTTCGAGTTATATATTAAAACAAAAAACACTAAATCAAGATCAATCTATCTGCTTTTATTTCAGATAAACAAGCACATAGATGTACAAAGACACTCATTAAACTTCAAATATCGGTTAACGACCAGGAGAAGATTTATTGAATCGTTTTATCTTTGTCAAATCAATACAGTTTTTAAATAATAACACGAAAATTATTAACATATTTTCTGTCACAAGCACTTGTAAGTGAAGGGTTGTAATCCAGTATTTTGACCTATGCCTTCTTATTTAGTGGTACACAAGTATAATAAAATGCGTGAACAAAATACAACTAGAAGTAAAAAAGGGTTGTGTACTAAAAATGTGAGTTTTACTACAAGGGAACGTTTTGCGGTTTGGTGTGAGAGCGTTCGTGTGTATCATTCAGTTTACTACAGGAGGCGTTGCGGTGCCTGTAGGGTGACAAAGGTGGGGAACATTTCTGGGATATTTTCTATAACAAGCCTATGGTGATAGAACAAGAAAATAGGGATAGGAAGAAAATAGGAATTCACTGGCGACATGCAGATATCAATGTCTTAGTTTCCGTAACAGAAAGGACCTTTGCCTTTTCTGATGCTTACACATATTTTTAAGAAAAATGGGCATAGTAAAAGGATTAAATTTAAAAAACACACTCGCAGAATTAAATTTTACATTGCAAAGTACTCAAGGCCATGTATAAAATGCTCCGACGGGATTTTGACGGTAATGCACTGCGGTGTGATTAGAAATAAGAAATTAAAAACCATTTGTAAACTTTTTTTTAGTAAATGAAATGTAAATATTGATGCAAAATCTGTTTTTATTTTAATATTATGTATACATAAAAATATAAAAATTAATTGTATCTACGGTGTAGCAACGGGCAACGAATAGAATTTACGACTTTATTTGTGTTTATCATTTGGAAATACTAACTCTATACTTGTGTCACAGTCGTGTTGATGTACTTCAGGACGTATCTGCCGTCCTGAAGTACATCAACAAGTAATTAACTGTACTTGCTACTAGTGCTGTGAATTCTAATAAGAGTTTCATGTAGTTCTATTAGAAAAGTCATTGACTTTGTGTTTGATTGATAAGGTTATCCCTGCAATGCATTCGTGGGAACTGTTTATTATTATGTCACAACAAACTGAGTCAATTAAACCGTTGCCATTATGTTCTTGTAATTTCAGATGCTCATGATTTTTATGCTATACCGTTTATTGGGTTACAGTGTGCGAATGCTCGTAATATAAAGCCATAAAAGTTCTGCAAAAACTGGACCCTCAGCACTGAGAGTCACCAATATAGTGTCCCAAAAAAATTAAAAGGATATTTACCCTGTTCTAAATTGGTTTATGTCAAGAGAAACAAGCTTGTGCCTCGTCTAACTTTCTCTTAGCCAGTTTGTTTTCACAGCAGTTCATTGTTTACCGTAGCACCAGACGTGTTACAAAAGCATTAAATTGTATTACCATACTTAATAACATTTATATCTAATTATATTTAATTATTAATTATTAGTTAGGACAAATGTTTTAAAAAATTAATAAAACCCAATTTTCATAAAAAAGACAACTACCGAACTAGGACTATATCCTGTGTCGCGGGGTACTTTAAAAACATACCTGAAACGCACACAAAGAGTTATCCTATGTGGGGATCGAACCCACCACATTCAGAGCAGTAGGAAGAGCCGAGGGAACCGCTTAAATCACAACGATATGCGTACAAATAACAATTAAAAGTAAATAATAATAATATTATACCACATTCCCACAACGTAACGTGTAAAGTGATATAGCTTATTGTAAAATTCTTTCTAATATTTCGAGACGGTACCAAGACGTTGTTAAAATGATACGGCGTTTAAAATCAATTGTTGCACTGACTATAAATTAATTGTAATTCTCTCTTCTGTGGTTAACAGCAATCAAAACTCAAAATATCATTATTTCATGAAATTGTGAAAAATTGATTGAAATCTTCTTTTATGTAGACTCTAAAGTCATAGATCAGCATACACAATAGCAACAATCTCTGTTTCGTCAAATATTTAGGAAAATAGCCTTGTGAGAGAAAGGGCAATCAAACTCGCAGCCACTCTTTTAAATCAACAGGTAGATACAATCGCATCATTAAATATATAACGAAATTGATCTGATGTGTGCTAGTAATATACCTTATTAAGGACTAATAGCTGAAAAAGTGATGAAGTGTGGAAGTTGCCTCAGTAACCATAACATGATGAAATTTATACGTAATACGTCGATATTTTTGTTTCTATTAATTTAAAAAATAAAACAATACAACTGTGGATGAAAAATCGTTAGGTAAAACGAGAAACATTATATAAATAAAATGATTACAAAACATTTTAAAGGAATTGAAAACCTCGCACCATCCCAAATCTATCCCCAAAAGGATCAAAGTGAATGATTACTACAATTAAAATCAAATTGGTGCGCAGTTACAGCGTATAATTAAAAAATATAACCCAATGTTAGGTTGAAATTTATCCAAGCGGTGGCTAATTGGTCGAAACTGTAATTTCCCGAAGGACAATATGGTGCAAGTGATAAAAGGTAGGCGGCAAATTAATGGACCAAGTATTTTTCGTTGGTAAAGCCCAGGATGATGGTTGAAGAACGCAAGTTTAGCTCATTTCAAATTGGACTTTACCATAAAATTGGTAAACGAACCAAATTTATTTTTTTAGCTTCAATTTCACAAGCCTATCGTAATATTCGTTACTAACAAAACATATATTTAAATATATATTTAAGGAGCTAAATAATCAGCAAACAATAAAAACCCGTTTACCTAAGATGAATGAAAGAGGACACAGGATTCAATTTAGTGCAGAGATAATTTAAATCTCTTAGCTCGTTCTCGTAGCTAGCTCTCTTAAATCGTTTTAGATATTTTTACAAGCCGGCCTTTCTAGCTAGATGGCGCCGGCATTTCGTAAGACTCACTCTGGGAAGAAACGTCGAAACAAACCACAGAGGGGTCTTATTTTTAAGTCCGTTTACTATGTTAAAGAGAACTATGTGAATGCAGTATAGGGTCTGGGTTGGCCTTTTGAAGAAAGAACCATAAGTTAAGTTTTAAGTCGGTCCGTCCATACAAGATTTACATCGAGATTTGATTAAGAATACGAGGTGTCACCACACATATTCATCTCATGGGTGTCGTAAGCGCCGACTAAGCGTGCGAACAACCCAGGACAACAGAGTACTTTTTCTCAAGTTTTCCTTCTCTTTTGCAGTAGCAAAAGAGAAGGAAAACTTGACAAAAACCCTATACCAACTCGTTCGGCCAGGGTGGTATAGTAGCCCAAAAACCTCCTTTCTAATTTGAGGCCTATGTACAGCAGTGGACTATTAAAGATGTGGTGTGATATGATTACTATAAACACAACATTGCAACTTCAACCGTTGGGTTGCGGTCGTTCGATCTCACATTTGATCACAATTATACTCATTGTCTTCAATCGCTTATCACTTGAACCACTAAATTAAAACAAGCCGTTGATATAATTCTGTAACCGGTTGAATTATTTGCTAATGAGCCCCACTAATGGGGTTCTTTTGGTTATCATTAACCGTTTCTTACGGTTATTGATGAGTTACGTTATTTCCTGTTTTTATTCTGTATATTCAAACACAAGGATTATCTCAGGAACTACTGAATTTAATTGAAAAATTATTTTATTGTTTGATAGCTGATTTATCGAGAAAGGCTATGGGGCCAACAACACGCTACGACTTAGTTGCGCAGGTCAGTTAGTTATAGAGAAATAAAACCCTAAAGATCTTAATCTCTCATTCTCTTTTCACTTCAAGCCCTTCATTTTCAATATATTATACATCACATCACATCACATCAACAGCCTTTAATAGTCCACTGCTGGACATAAGCTTCTCCTTAGAAAGAAGGTTTTGGCCTACTATACCACGCTGGCCAGACGGGTTGCTATGCAATACCTTAATCACTCCGTCACAAGCGGTGTTTTTCCATCTGCATGGAAAGATGCCCAAGTAATCCCTCTTTCAAAAAAAGCTAAACCCTCTTCATTTTCTGACTATCAGCCCATATCTATTTTACCTTTCCTATCTAAAGTACTTGAACGCCTCATCCACTCTCATCTGACTAACTTCCTCTCCAAAAATTCTCTACTGAACCCGTTCCAATCCGGATTTCGCCCTGGCCATAGCACTACTTCTGCGCTGGTACACATTACAGACAGCATCAGACTAGGTATGGATAGTGGAAAGATCACATTTCTCACCTTACTTGATTTTAGCAATGCCTTCAATACTGAGGATTTTCACATTCTGCTTGGCGTACTACGGTCTCTTAACATATCTCCGAGGACAATTGATTGGTTTCATAGTTACCTGTCTGGTCGCCGGCAACGGATTTGCATTGATGACTCCATGTCCTCCACCATGTGTACCACAGGGTGGCGTTCTATCTCCTTTACTCTTCGCTGTTTTTATAAACTCAATCTCTAATCAACTAAGTTCCTTCTACCACCTTTATGCAGATGATTTACAAATATATACACAAGCTCCGATTAACATGTTATCGGATGCATTCAACATAATTAATGCTGACCTTCAACGCATTGGCGAGTGGAGTTATAACTATGGACTTATGATTAATCCTATGAAGACACAGGTGTGTGTTATTGGCAGCCCCAGGCTGATCTCAAAAGTTAACTGGACTCTACTGCTCCAAATTCAGTTCGGTGGCACAACTCTTGAGATAAGCACTACTGTAAAAAATTTAGGGATCTACATGGACAACACTTTATCACAGATGCAAGAGGTCAGTCGTAGGATATTTGCTTCAGCCGGTTCTCTTCGAAGACTACGCAAATTCCTTCCAACTGCAACTAGGGTTGCGCTTGCACAAGCACTTCTCCTCCCAATTCTCGACTATGCCGATGTCAGCTATCTGAATCTCACTGAAGCACAACTCGATAAGCTTGAGCGACTACAAAATATGTGTATACGATTCGTATTTGGTTTACGAAAATACGATCACGTCTCTGAATTCCGTCAAATGCTCAAGTGGCTTCCAATTCGCTCTCGCTGGAATACTCATATCCTTATTTTCCTTTACAACATTTTGTTTAATCCCAAAACCCCTTTCTACCTCAAAGAACGATTCAAGTTCCTTAATGACACACACGAAAAATGTCTGCGGTCATACTTAAGTTTACAACTGGAGATGCCACTGCATTCCACAAAATTTTATGATCAATCCTTCACTGTTGAAGCTTTGCGCTTGTGGAATGCACTGCCGCTTAACATCAGGCAGGCGCAAACATTAAATAGATTCAAGAAAATGGTACAGGAATTTTATTCACCTTAATTGAGTCCATCACGCTTGAGGGTGTAATGAAACTGTTTCTCTTTTCTATATGTTTATTCATTTAAGAATGCGTATATATATATGTATATTTGCTGGTATAGTATGTAGGTACTTATATATATGTAGGTTTATTTATTGAGATATGCATTGTAGATGTAAGTATAAAAATTGTACATGTTTGTAGGTAATATAATATGTGTAGTATATGTAATATGTATAGTAGATAATAATAAACTAATAGTAGTTTCACAAATGCAGATATTCAACTACTACTGTCTCTCTGCAACTTTTGATCCATCCTAAGGTTGCCTGGAAGAAATTGCATTTAGCAATAAGGCCGCCCTTTGTACACTCGATATTTGATCGCTGTGTTCCTTTCTTGTAACTCTGTAATTTAGTGTGCAAATAAAGAGTTATCTTTCTATCTATCTATCTACTGAATAAAACCTCATTTTATAAGTTGAAATTAACTTTATATATAATAAAAAACAACAGCATTTTGAATTTCGAATTAAGTTACATGGCTACACTAGGTTTTTTTTTCAATTAATTTGTTTCCCGCCATGTTCGGAGGATACATTCAGCATTTATTCAACATAACGCATTCCCCAGTCTTGGTGTTCCTCACGGTTGGTTTGTTGCAGAAGCATTGTGGCACACCGCAGGGACTAGGGCCAGTGAGTTTGTGGACTGTAGGGTTGTCGCACGAAGGCTCCGCTTTTTGTGGGCAGTAAAGAACCGAGTGCTCGCCAGATGGACATTGGCCTGTAAAAGATATAAGGATAGATATAATTATGAAGTTGTGTAAAAGAATGTGTTAGTAATTTAAGTATTTTTAAGTAATGTATTATAAACATTTCAAGTATGTTGATTAAGAAGTATTTTGCTAAGGTTTATACTATTCTCATTTGGAAAATAGTTCACCTTTTGGTAAGCAGTGACTATTGTTTTGTTGAGAAATATTGGCCACAACAGTGACGTCATACTCATTATGTCAATCCTCAAAGGAAATCTTCAAAAGACACCTGTCAAGTTGTTGAAGGCCGGTACTGTGGGATTCTTCCCCACTAACAATCTCTTCGCTCTCGTACCTAGAACCGTGGGACCGCGCTAGCATTCGAGCGAGATTGGTCAATAGCAGAATTACAATAGTACTACTGAGTAGCCACTGTCATAATTATCTAATTATAATATAAACATACACACATATACAAATACAGTAACGCGTATATCCCGGAAGGCATAGACAGAGCCGTACTGAAGACACATTTTATGAACTGTAATTTTAGTTCAACTAACGGGAGTAGCCCTAATGCTGTCAACCGGGCACAAGAAAAGAAAGGTAGGTAAGAAAGAAAAGCTAAGGTAGAAAAATTACATATAGCTTATATGGATGGACTGGAAAATGTAAGCTAGAATTGGCATTAGCCTGAAAGTTAGAGACCTCTGTCTCTGCTACTCATTTCTGTACTGTAAGTCGGTTATCGCGGTAAAAAGTATTATATGTTACTTGCTGATAATGTAGCTTTCTATTAGAGAAAGAATTTTTAAAATCGGTTTAGTGGTTTAGGCGTTAAAGCGTAACAAACAAACAAACTCACTTTGACATTTATAATATAAGTATGGATATAAATGCATAGTCTTAAATCTTATGTCCTTACTGAAAATGTCATACCTTTTCAATTATTAAAAAAATTTACATTATAACGTGTTTTTGCAAAAGACACGTTGGATTTTAAACAAAACAAATAAGTGTGTCAAATATATAATAAAAAAAGTAATAAAGGAAAAGAATACATTATTCCGTCTTATCGCTTTTCGTGACTTTATTTATTTTAGTTATAGGTGTTTACTCTGGGTTATTGTTTTTGTATGCAATATGTAGTAACACACTTCTTTTTGTATACAACAACTCTGATCTGGTCAGAACAACTACAATTTTTTTGAAAAATATAATAAAAAAAGAGAAGGAAAAAAAACTTGACACAAACCCTATACCAACCCGTCTGGCCAGCGTTTTATAGTAGGCCAAAACCTCCTTTCTAAGGAGAGGCTTATGTCCAGCAGTGGACTATTAAATGCTATTGATGATGATAAGAATAAAGAAATCTGACATCCTATAGGTGTAATTTATTTCGCGTTGTGCAATGCGCGCATCTTTTAAATAGTAGAATGGGAACCGTGGTTACCATACACGAGGGGGTTATCTACATGCCATAGATGGCCCGAGGTACGTCGGAGTACAAGGGTTTACCTTTCTAGGGTATACCTGGTTCCCCGGCTTGGTTTTTAGTCGGTTCGAGTCCAACATAACTATCCCACCCGTGGGTGTTATCCGAGGGGATTTATACCCATAAAAAAAGGTGTAATTTATCTATAACATACACGTATGAATTTAAATTAGGAATGTATTCACTATAGGACAAGCTGTGCCTAATTTGAAATCACACGGTCGTGTATGACGTCAAGTTATTATTATTATTCAACTTACGTGTAGGAATTCCTTGACCGTATACCATGACTACGGCGAATGTCACGAACAAAACCATAACAAACTTCATTTTAATATCAATACAATGTGTTCACAACAAAAGGTAAAAGCTATCTGATATATCTTGAACTGTTTTGTCTTTATATACAAGCGTCGAACAATATACAATGAAAAGGGGAATTACATACTTTGAGGAAGATATATAAATTATTGTAAGTATTTTTCCCTTATTAATATGAATGATTAATATTTTAGAAGTATGAAATATTGTTTTAATTAAGTTTGGGGTTAACTGAATTTAACGGGCCTTTTGGTCTAGTAGTTAGTGATTCTGACTGCTAAGGCGGAGGTCGTGGGTTCGATTCCCAATCAGGATAAATAATTGTGTGTATGCACGATGATTTATGCTGTCTGTATATAATATTTAGAAATATATAAGTATGTTCATCAGCAGTCTGGTTACCATAGTACAGGCTCTGTCTAGTTTGAAATCAGACGGCCGTGTGTGAAGTTATTATTAATAAAAAAAAAAATGTCTGATAAATTAACATTGTTGTTAGACACAAAAACTAATTCAATTTAAAATAGCTATACCGATTATTATAAAACTGAAGAGATTGTTTGTTTGTTTTATTGAACGCGCTAATCTCAGGAACTACTGGATCGAATTGAAAAACTGTGTTAGTATTGGATAGCCAGTTTATCGAGGATGGCTATATTCTATGTAACATCAGGCAACGACCAATAGGAACCAAACATAAATGAAAAGTTGCAAAAACAGGGCAAATTAATTCCTTTTATGAGCGCCCGCGGCTTCGCCCGCGTGCATGTCGGTTATAGCGGTAAAACGTAGTCTATGACTCGCTTAACATGTAGCGATTCATTGGTGAAAGAATTTTTTAAATCGGTTTAGTGGTTTAAGCGTGAAAGCGTAACAAACAAACAAATAGACTAATTTCGCATTTATAAAATAAATATGGATTGACGGAGTCACTTGAAGGAGTTTGGCTGTGCCATCTCGCCGCTCCGCACGATAGCCGCAACGGTATTTTTACTTTTTTTTTTGTTTTAAATTACAATCCGTATACCTATATGATACCCTGGGTCGCGGGGGACTATGAGTGTTACTAGCCGTTCCCCATTCTGAGTATAGGGATCCAGTACAATATTCTGTCTTGGTATAAAAGTCTATACAGTGACATTTCAAGCTATGTTGGACGCTAGATAGACTGAGTCGTGTACATAATATTTACATTTCACCAGCTTAATCAGTAGTAGGCAATGTCTGCAGCTCTTTGACCAATTAGAGATAACCTCTATTTTGCATAAAGTCGTATAACATTTAAAGGCCAGACTAAATATTTTATTCGTCAGCATATTAATTAATAACTTGTAGTAATTAGTCATGTTCACGTGCTTAGTTGTTCTTACACATCACGGGGAATATGTTCTTTTTCATTGTACAATTGTGACGTCATATTTATCAACTGTGATGTCGAACTAATGACCTATATATTATTTTAGTATCGATCAAAATAATTTGATCCATCAATACTTCCGTACTTATATTATAAATTTGAAAATGAGTTTGTATATTACGCTTTCAGCCCTAAACCACTAAACGGATTTTAAAAATTATTTCACCAATGGAAAGCTACATTATCAGCGCGTAACTTTTTAGCGCGAAATGAAAATACATACAATCGGCGGAAGATTTAACAACCGTGGGAGAGCCAGGGGGGAGAGCCAGGGGGGGGGGGGGGGGAAGGTCAGAAGGTGGGAACGCACTAGAGACATCTGAGTTGCAGTACCATTAGCTAATCCGTCTGTTCGTTTGCCAATTTATTTATTTTCTCTCTGTGTAAGTGCTAGTTAACATCTGAGTACGAGCCGCAGAACGTGTCTAAGAAATGCATACATAAACCTGAGAAGATAAAACTCCTTTGAATTTACGGTCAGCATAAATCAAACATCAGCCTATCGGCATCCACTGATGAACGAAGGCCTTCACCTAGGAGCGCCAACTCCCGGTCTTGGGCAGTCCGCATCCATCTGCTACCAGCCACTTTCTTTAAGTCGTTCGTCCACCGTGCCGCAAGGCGTCCTTCACGTCGTTTGCCTAGTCGCAGTCTCCACTCAGCTCATTTCGGCTCCAGCGACCATCAGTCCGTCTGGGACATGACCGGCCCAATTCCACTTCAGCGTACTAATTCTACGTGCGATGATACATCTTATATATAAAATTCTCGTGTCACAATGTTAGTTACCATACTCCTCCGAAACGGCTGGACCGATTTTTATGAAATTTTGTGTGCACATCGGGTACGTCTGAGAAACGGTCCAACATCTATTTTTCATACCCCTGAATGACAAGGGTGACCCAACCCTGAATTTTTTATCAATATTTCCCAGAATTAATGTAAATGGCAAAACAACGTTTGCCAGGTCAGCTAGTATATTATATAATTTGGCCTTAATTGGAGTATTCAATGCTTTGAATCACATTATGATTTACGTATTGGTAAAAGATTATTTCGGGCGACCAGGGCAACCAAGTCGACCTACAATCTGACAGAGTTTATGTACTTAGAAGGATGTATTAGTGTCATACAGATGTAGCAGTCGTTCGTTATTTATGCTCGATACTGATTTTTTAAATCTTTTTCTTTTAGAAAGTACCTTAATCTATTTAGTAAAGGTTTTAAAATACCTACTGCCTTTTAATATTATACTTACGTACATAAACTTTAAGAGTATTACCTTCTTTCAACTTCGGCTAAACGGCTTAGAGAATACCTACGCAAAAACTATACAATTTTCACACCACAACAAAACACTCGGTTTAACTGGCAAAGAAACTTTTTACCGAGAAGGGGTAGGACAAAGGGTGGTATTAAGTTTATAGCCACTCGTAAAAATGTAACGGTAAAGGGAGATAAGCTTAGAATTGTTTTTTTTTGTTTTATTTTTGTTGCTCTGAAAAAAAAAGAAAATTGAAAAGATTAGAATTTTGTGGGTATCTTTTGTTTGTGGTAATTAATATCATTTTAAAACATGCAAGCACAGTGTTTATAAGGTTACCCATCAAAAGACATGTAAACGTTGATTAGCTCCTGAGTTGCAGGCGTTTGGGCTTTCCATCAGGTGACCCGTATGCTCTTTTGCCCTCGATGTAATAAATTATCGCGCAGTAATTTACGTGTGTATTCGAAAACATTTTTTTCGTATAATGCTTATCGATTTCTAAGTTCGGATGACAATTTATCTTGAAGCTGGTCTGATCGTAACACCTGGAGCTGGATAGTGAAATGCTTCAGTTAAGTTCATTGGTTTCTTTTTGAGGATTCTGACATATTCGGTTTGTTAATAATGGTTAATATTAGAACTCTATTCTACTTTGTAATAGAGTTTCAAATTAAAACGTGTTTTTTTGGTTTGATTATTCTGTTATGATTATTGATAAATAGGGAATATGAAAACAAATATTTCGTAATAACCATAAAGTTCCAATAGTTCATGGTAGAGTAGTTTATTAATGAGTAAGGGTCGCACCTGGGACCACCCTCAACTTTGTGACGCACGTCCTACTAGCTGCCCCTTTAGGATTTATGTAGTGTACTACCGTTATGGCAAATGCGTTTGATACCTTTTAGGACTGAAATAAATGTTGGCAAGTATGGTTGCGATAGTCTTAATGTCTTAAATAATAGTCTTAAATGAAAAAATGGATCATTATTGTGAAATGCAGGCTACAAATAGTTACGATATATTAATTTCATTTAACTTTTCAAAGAAGTATTTAATAAAACAACAGACAGAATAAGTCTGTCAATTTCTTATTATGAAAAAATAACAAAGTAATCACTTTGAATTATTTATAATAAATTGAATTCGTGTAGTAAATTATTTAGAAATCTTCTTTTAATATTTATGCCCGGCTGCACAGGACCGATTATTGTGGCGAATATTGGGGAAGACCTATATCGTGCATTGGATAAATTAATAGTCAAAATAATAAACTTTTTTATGCATTTATGGAATAGGGGACAAACGAAAATACGGGTTACCTGATGGTAAGTGACTACCGCCGCTCATTGGACGCAAGAATCACAAGTGCATTGCCTCCCCGGAGACTTAGGGGTTTAATGCCGATAAGCAATTATTTCATAGCCTTTCACTGTGTAAATGAGGTTATCGGAGTCTAAACCCCACCACCCCCTTTTTTTTCCGTGCGGAAATCCCCTCGGATACCACCTACCGGTGGCATGTCGGACTCGAACCGACTAAAACCGCACGCCGTCTCTTGTACTAATAGCCGGGGAAACAGGTATACCCTTGAAAGGAAGTCCCTGTTGCCCCGACATACCTCGGGCCATTCTGGAAGGTGGATTTTAAGGGTGATATGCACTTATAACTCTTGAGTCGCAGGGGTAGATACGATAGCGTTAGAAAGAAACAAGGGCTACTTACAATCAGGTGACACGTCTAGTAAATTATTTAGAAATCTTCTTTTAATATTTATGCCCGGCTGCGCAGGACCGATTATTGTGGCGAATATTGGGGAAGACCTATGTCGTGCATTGGATAAATTAATAGTCTACTGCTAGACATAGACCTCTCTCTTTTGTTTTTTTTTATGTTAGAGGGGGCAGACGAGCAGACGGGTCACCTGGTGGAAAGTGACTATCGCCGCCCGTCTGCAACTCAGGAGTCGCAAACGTGTTGCCGGCCCTTTAGTAAGGAGTACGCTCTTTTCTTGAAAGTTTGAAGGTCGTATCGGTCCGGAAATACCGCAGACGATAACCCGTGCCACAGATTGGTTGAAAGAAAGAAGGATTTGTCCTACTATACCACGCTGTCCAGGCGAATTGGTATAAGGAGTTTTCATTCTCTTTCAGTGTTGTTGTCCTGATGTAAATCTATACTAATATTATAAAGCTGAAGAATTTGTTTGTTTATTTGTTTGTTTGTTTGAACGCGCTAATCTCAGGAACTACTGGTCCGATTTGAAAAATTCTTTCAGTGTTAGATAGCCCATTTATCGAGGAAGGTTATAGGCTATATATCATA